ACAGAGAATATTGAGAACCCCGTACAGGCATCTCCTATGAAACAGAGAATATTGAGAACCCTGTACAGGCATCACCTGTCTGCCACAAATGGTGACTCTCAGGCTTTCCCGATACTCCTCTGCACCCACTACAGCCCCCTGCTCTGCCCTGGGATGATTCAAAAGCAAATCCAGACATGGGATGATGTCTCAAGATGAGAGGCCCTAGCTAGTTAGACATTCTCAACACACAAAGAGCAACTGCACCCAAGCAGGAAGGGAGGACCCTGCGATGATGCCGGGGAGCAGAAAACTTCTTTACAGGTCAGAGAGCAGGGCCACCCTCCTGCCGCACGGTCGGGTCCAACATGAGACCCTGGCTGTTCAGTCTTCAGAGAGTGAGAGGGAAGACCCACGCGTACCTGCTCCCAAAGAAGCAGTCAGTCAGCGAGGCTGCAGGCTGCACACATATGACAAAAGTTCACCTGGTAAAAGCTTTAAAAAGAGACCGTCTTCTGTCATTTATTCATAATTCACATCTGGTCTGCTTCCAAAGAGCTTTAAAGCAGGTTCAGTCGAAGGCCTATCTAAGGTGGGGTGACGGGGAGGACAGCAGGTGACGTGCAGTGGCCGGTGAAGGAATTTGGGGCTCATCCAGTTCAGCATCTCCAGTTTCCCCGCTTGACACCTGACAGTCATGGACCTCGTTGCTGTCTCCATAGTTTGCCTTTTCCTGAATGTTCTGGGGTTGGAACCGTACAATATGTGGCCTTTTCACAGTCACATGCCTTCAAGATTCCCCCGTCTTTTCATGGCTCATTTCTCTTTAGTGCTGAATAATACTGTATTATTACATTACAATCCATAACATCCCATTGTATAGATGGGCCACAATTTATTCGCCTACTGAGGAACAGCTTGGTTGCTTCCATGTTTTGGCGATTATTCATGAAGCTGCCTGCCATCAGCACCCTCATGCAGGTTTTTGTGTGGGTGTCAGTCTTCAGCTTCTACTGGTAAGTACCAAGGAGTGTAATCACTGGATCACATAGTAAGAGAACGTTTGGTTTTGGAGGCAGCCACCAAACTGGCTTCCCCAGTGGCTGTGGCATTCTGCGTTCTGTGTGTCACCAGCAGTGAACGAGCTGCTGTTGCTCCACATCCTCGCCTGCATTGGGTGTTGTCGGTGCTCTGGGTTCTGGCCGTTCTGAGAGGTGTGTGGTGGTGTCTCGTCATCATTTGCATTCACATTTCCCTGATGATGGAGGAAGCAGAGCATCTCCACATGCTTGTTTTCCTCTGTGTGTCTTCTTTGGTGAGGTGTCTGTGGTGGTGTCTGGGCCATGTTTTAGTTAGGCTGTTTGTTTCCTTATTGTTGAGTTTGTAAAAGTTCTTGAGTATGTTAGATATTGGTCCTTTATCAGATATCAGATACATCTTCTGTAAACGTTTTCTCCCAGTCTGTGGCTTGTCTT